GTAGCTAGTTAAAGTAGAATTGTAGTACTACTATAAACGTGTTACTTAGTCCTATAGTTTACAAGAAATTGAGTTAAAGTCAGATCATCTTGAACTGGTATTCTGATTATGTGTTTATCTATGTAAATGAGTTTGTACTGTATTGATAAGGGTCAAAAACTAAAACCAAAGAGTTATGATGACTTGGTAAGTACTGAAGTCTGAATTTTCTGAATACGTTGGTTAACGAATATTGACTAGAATACATACACTGGTTACATTAACGAAGGCAAATAAACAGGCCGAACCAATTACAGCCAATGTAATCGAAAATCGTAAATGTCCGTAACGTGAAAATCTCTTCGGTACAATATCAGTTAGAGCGGTGACAACAGATTCTAATCCACCCATCTGAAATGATAATAGATACAAAAGGCGACACCTATTAACAGTGTTCCGGTGACATAATAAAATGATTCAATGAAAGTTAACTTTTTTTGATTTCGATTTTCATATACTTAGTACAATGTAAGCTTCAGAGCACCACTAAAAATAACAAAAAATTGATGCGAAGCCATGGAGGTAAGAGGTTGAAAATGTCATTACAATTATGGAAAAATCAAACAAAATAGTTCGAAAATAAGTTATGATCAAAATGTGGAGGTACTGGAAGCCAAACCCAATTCGACTGCTTTAATTACCCCTCAAGTAGTGATCAGACTGACAGTGTAAGCAGACTATCTCGGTAAATTCTGATAACCAAACAATGAACAGTCAATTTGCAAATTAACAACTAATTGTTTCAATCTTCACTGTTTCTTCTCTAATTCCATTGTTCATGCATTTTCCAAACGATTGCGCTTCATTTCAGTTCTTTCCTCATCGGTCTTCTGCCAAAATACATTCTATGTCTGACCAGCACCATATACTATTTATATAGATATAAGTAGACCACACCACAGTACGAGCGAGTAGGGAAGAATTTCGATTGTTCTCAATGATCTACATATGTACATTCTTTTATCTGTCAATTATTTGACGCAGTTTTACTGGTGTTTACCCACTTATTATTGTTATGGAATTCAAGAGTTTCTGATTTGCTGCGCTTATATATTACAAAACTTGATAGTACTTAGTAAGAAAATTAATTGCGATAACTATGTATAGTGCATTTGGCTGTTTCTTTAATTACGCTTAATTTATTGATGATTTATACCATCCCGTTTTCGAGATATAAGAAAATCATAGGACGGAATTTTAATAAGTGACGAAGTAAATGAAAATTGAACATTTAAATAATAAAAGTAAATCTTTGTAACAGATACGAATATAATAAGTTTCAGTATGGAGTTGTGGAGACTGTTGAATTTTTATTGAGATCATGAACCGTTTGTTGAGTCAATCATTTCACTTCTGATCCTTGAAATAAATAAATTGTATGTATCAAATTATAAACCGGTATTATTCAGTATCATCTTCGATTATCCAACAACAAATGAAAATTATTTTTCAATTCAGATCATGATCCGATCAATGTTGGACCACCATTGAAAACCTGGAAGCACAGAATAGCCGTTTTATCATAATACAGAACTCCTTGTAGGTGACCTGGAGGTTAGGCGTTCACGTGAGGACGGAGGTCCTGGTTTCGATTCCCATGTCCGGGGTTGTGGATGCGCTTTTCTGAGGAGTCCTGTTTTATGACAAAACGGCTATTCTGTGCTTCCAGGTTTTCAATGATGGTCCAACATTGATCGGATTATAATCTCAATTGAGAAATAATTTTCATTTGTTGTTGGGTAATCGAAGATGATACTGATTAATACCGGTTTATAATTTGATACCTACACTTATTTATTTTAAAGATCAGAAGGAAAACAATTGGCTCAACAACAATTTACCTGATTTTAGTACTAAAACGAGTAAGTTTATCTCAAAAAAGGAATAATGGTTTCTTGTAACTTGGTGATTCATAACTTGCCAATAAGTATGAAATGTGGTTTAGTGGCTTTATAAAGATTTTTTGAAATCATCATTTATCATATATAACTTTTCAAGTTTTTTATTTATTAGATTAGTAAGCAGCCAACCTTTATCAACTATTCATACATACAACCTGTTTTGATATTGACAGATAAAATGTGTGTTAGATAACCGACAGAAGTTAAAAACCACGAAGAACAAACAGTTTTCATCTTAGTATTGGAATCTTTAGTGGTATGCACCAGAGACCCACTGGGAACCAGTTCCAGGACCTTCAGATGGTGAGCGCTTAACCTTTAGACCGTACTCGATCGACATTCGACAGAGTACAGGTCTATTTTCGGTCGGTTCGCGATAGTGCTCAATCATCTTCCATTATTTTTATTGATCAACTGCCTTACATTTAACATGTTTGACCACCAATGGCTACGAGTTGTTCTTAGAATTTCAGAATTATCCTTCGAAATCGTTTACCAGTTAGTGCAATTCCATTAGCTATCTTACTGTAATCCAGACATTCAGTCAAGTATGTGTATTACCATGTGTGTGCAATGATGTGCGAATTCACCCACCATTTCTATTCATTCTCTGATTGGTTGTAAATGCAGTCAGTTAACAATTTATGACTCATATGTATACAATCATAGTCGTTTTCGAATACACTCTACACATTCCTTCCTTTTAGCTGGTGTATATACTAAAAATTTGATCTGTTGAAATAGTACATGTGTAATAAATCGATTACAATGTAATTTGCATTTGTTTTATGAATTCCTCGAGTGAAATATATTTCACTATACACCGAAAATTAGTCTTAAACCGAATGTGAAGTTACCCAAGGTTTATCATACTCGAACTTAGAATTATAGTTACTTACAAATAGAGATATTGAATTACACCTTACAAAACATAACTGAATATATTTTTATTTATTCAAACGACTATACGGATAGATGAAATCATTCAAAAATAACAATATACATCGTAAGTTTAACTCAAGACTGAACTAAGATTATTGAGGTTTCACGGTGAAAATATTAAAAAGTGATGATCCATTAACCGGAGTTGAATAAATCTATGATTTGTATTACAGGGATTCGGTTTGATTGGTAAGTATTAGTATTGGTTTAATTATTTCTATAGATTGCATTTCTGTGTTCAGAAGCATCTTCAAATGAGTCGTTTTTATGTTTGATGATTGATAACATTTCAGGTAATTCTAGTTTGAGAGTTCAATATGATCGCAATAATTTATGCAAGCCAGTTGATTAATTACACTCATTACTAGCAATCATCGACTTTTATTATTTAATTACATGCAAATATATAACGAGAAATAGATATCAATAAGTATTTTTCTGCTTTTAAAGAGTTGTAAATCACAAGTCATTTAGGGTCACCTAGTTTATTTACCAAATATATGAATAAATGTATAACTTATTTTGTTTAGAAATTTGTTTGTTAACTGGACATTTTACGTTGTTCTTATCTATGAATCAATCAATTCATGGTTAACACAAGCTTGGTCTTTAACTATTGGATTAAAGACTCGAACTTTACTAGCATCTACTTTGGTCTTTGACAAAGAGTTAGCATAACCGGAACTTTTGTAGAGTAGCTTAATTCAAATCTTAATATATATATATATATATATATATATATATATATATATATATATATATGGTAAAAAAGTGTTTCATAAAGTTTCACAACTCACTCTACTGTCTAATCCGAGCATTATATGTAACATTAAGAATATTGTTGCCCATAATGGTGCGAAAGGCAAAGTTCCAATAGCTAATGGATAAACTTGAAATACCAATCCTGGACCTTTTTCATTCGATGATTACACATCAGTAGGTAAATAAAGTAATTAAAAAATAATAAAAACTTATGTAAAATTAGTTTTAACTAAACTTGTTTTGCCAGTTACTTTTGTTGCATGTAGTAAAGAATTTTCCTGTTTCTCTCAAGTTTTACCATTAATCTGACGTGATTGCATAATATTGTCTTGAAAAATGTCTTTATTGTCGTTACTCAATTGTTTTATACTACTTAGCATTATCTAGAATTAATTATTGTTAATATTATGTTGTTCCACATAGTCTGAAAAATGGTGTTTTGTTTTCAGAGTTAGAGTTTTACTTAATTTCTTTATCTTAATCCATTTGCTAATTATAGTTAGATTCACGTATTTGCGTCATTTCACGGGATATTTCTAATATTACAAGCTTGCAAACCTATTTATTTTACTTTAAAAGAGTAGTTTTTTATTTATCAATTCAAATGATTAGCAGTTGTATTACAAATAACATATTGATAAAAATTGGACAATAAGAATCGTTTTGATTATGACTTAACGAATTTGAGAAATCATATTAACGATGAGATTTCGAATTTTTGTGTGTGAATAAGTACACATTTAAGAATATACAGTGATGTGATACAACTAATGGATACAAAATATCTGTACAAGACTAGTTGGTTATCAACTATTATGTTAGCGAATAAGGGAGTAAATACATTAAAAAATAAGTAAACATTTTTGTTTTCAGAGTGTGCGGTATCTTTAAAATTCATTCATTCAGATAGAATTCATTTTCCATTTAAGTCTATTGTATAATTATCAAGAGGGAGGTTTGTAGAGATTGTTGAATGTTACTGAAATTAAAAACCAAATTAAGTGAGACAATCATCGGAACCAGTAAGCACACAACAGTGTTTTCATTCCGGTTTTAGTTCACATCGTTGATCAATCCCATACCAGGACAAAACAGCTAACCATCACTTCTTGATTTTCCATGGTTGTCTAACTTAGATTGGCTTGTGATTTAGAAATTAAAACCGTATGAACTACAGGTGAACAATTACCAATACATTTCTTTGATTTACCGTTTATATTAGTAGAACTTCCATTTACCTATGGCCAGTTATAATTCATTGATTTTATCTCGAAATTTAATTTATAAGATAAACTACTACTATGAAAAATAGATATTGCCACTGTTTTTTTTCAATACCATTCTTACCTTCTTCTGTTATAGTTTGTGTACTGTAGTATGTGTAAGATGAGCCAAATAACCAAGATAAGCGAATACAGTAACTCCAGCAAATATACTTGTTAAAGCATTCACAAGTGAAGTGATCAGACAATCTCTGTGTAAGAGTAAAATGTATTCGTTAATTGAACTGAGACAAGTAAATATTATCTAGTGTTTGTTAATTTCCCTGTATTGTATTTGAAATATCTACAATTTAGTAATACTGGAAATTTATAGGGTTTAAAATAATAGTAAGTCGCACAATAAATCGGAAACATCCTGTCTGGGGAAGAGTCTTAGTTATCACTTCATATCTTAGGTTTTCTAAGTTTTTTTGTAGTTAGTAGGCTTCCATGGTTAATGTTTTTCTTGGTTGGAATATGATTGAATTTGTAAACATGTGTTTTTGTTGCATCATATTATATTGAACATTTAATATACATAATAAGAATTATTTATTTTAACAGGATAAATGAATAGACACCATTTTAATTATCGCCCTCAAACCAACTTCACAGGCAGCTTGCTCTCTGGAATTGGATCAGCACTAAGGATAAGATAACATGAATTCGGTTACTTATAGACCACCAGTCTTCGTGTAAGTCTAACTACACCACTTTCGCTGTCATTTTGGACAGCGTTTATATAAAATAATCTTTTAATTCAAGTTCCAAATGATGAAAAGCTCCATCCCTAAGAACACAACATCAAATATATCCACATATACTTCAGTATTTTTCTTGTATATTTGAACTCACCTGTAACAATTGTACCGTTTAGGATTATACGTTGCATAAGCGATGTGTGCACCGAATCCTGCTCCAGTTGAGAAAAATATTTGAATAGCTGCATTCGCCCAAACCTTGAATAAAATGACACTATAGTTTATTCGTCAAAATAGAAAAACTAAAAATGACTAAGTTTATTGAAATGTGTTAATTTCCTACTTCATATTATTCCATTAAGTACTTTCTTTTTCTTTCTTTGCTAATAATCGTCCCTTGTTTTATTGATTTTTAGTTTTCTGTCTTGAACGGTTTACTTATGAAGGTTTCATTGATTTTGAAGTAACAGTTAAATAATTGAAATGAGGACTTCGTAACTAAATCATAAATCTGAGGCTTGAAGTCTTTATCATTATTATCTGTTTCCATTTTATGTGATATTTATCAACTTTGTCCATTTTTTTGTTTTGTTTGATTATATCGTTGATAATGAACATAAGTTATAGCCATATTCGTCCTTTTTAGTTGTTGATTATCACATTTTTCGTTTCGATCTAAATCTTTTTTTTATATCGCTAGCTAGATGGCCTTGAAAATTTGATGAACGATGCTCATAATACTGAGACTTTACCCATTTTCTTCGTAGGACTCAAAATGTAACCATTCATCATTGAATATTAATTAGTTCTATGTTTGAGTGATTGAAGTGTACGACTACATTCCTTTAAAGAAATATATACCCACACCACTAATTGAAATAAATACCATTACGTTTCCTGAGGCTTTCAACTGATGAATGATATTTTACGCAATATACATGTCTAAGTGTCATTTAAAAAATATTCATATGCATCTAATGCTTGTAAATATCTCTATTTCTACAGTTATCATTTTATGTCTATTTGAAGAGTTGATGATTATTTTTACATAAGGTTAAGAACTTATTTATATGAGTAATTTTTATTAACTTGAATATGCGTATTTTTTTATCAAGATATAGTTTATATAAATGACATTAATCGAATCCGTTCAATGCAAACGTCAAGACTGTTCTACCATACAGTGCTGAACTTGGAGAATTACTACAACCATCATCAAAAGGGTACTGGTATTTTTACAAAGCTGTCTGCTGAATATACTTCAGTTTTTTTTGACCGAACACTCTGCGAATTGGAGGGAGATATAGAAAGAATGAATAGATATTGGAAACCGTTGGAAAGGAGGACCAACGATTGAGTTGGCTGGAGATTCGTGGTCTGCTGCCAATGCCTCACGAAGGGCAATGGAGTAATTAATTAACTAATTAATTAATTAATGCATTAATTTAATAAGTATGAATTCGTTCTAGTTCAACGACTGCGAATGCAATCTTGGTAAGATGTAACAGTAATAATGATCAGTTTTATGATTTGTTAACTGTGCCATCGACGCAGCCGTAAAAACACATCTTTAATAAAACCCTTGTAAATTTAATTCGTAACTTGTTACTACTCAAACTGGATTGCTATTTGGTTGTTCAATGCTTGTTGAATTTTTCTGATTTCCTGATTAAGATTATTCCATGATCATGACCGTAAAATTAAAATAGTTTCACGGACCCGTGCATAAATGATTAACTTTCAGGCGTAATTTCCAGAACTCTAGTGCCATTCCGTAACCACTGGAGTTCAACCAAGGAGCGAAGTAATGCAGTTAGTTATCAATGGTATTGGAAGGTAGCTGGAGGTAATTTTTATCTTTATGCAAGTTGTGAAGAAGTAAAATATCAGAGAATATGAAACAACTGTTCTAACCTACTAAGTCATTTTTCAACAATGCTCACTAATAATCCAACAAGGAGCCGTGAATGAAGAACTAGAAGCTTCTGGTGTCGTAACCAAACCGAATTAGCTGAGATTAACGATTAAAGACCAATTGTTCAATTCATTTTCTATTGGTTATTCGGATCCTCCCAGTGATATTTAGGACTGTCAGTCTCTTGCTGGCATATGTGCATCCTAGTTGAATTACCACGATGCAGATATATCTAGCTGACGAATCCCAAATAGAAGGAAACGCGAATCTCGGATTTCACTTCTAGCCACCATCCATCTTTGCTTACAATTATTCAGTTTATTGCGAAAACTAATATTAAAACACATAAAAGTTTCATATGATCACCTAATCATTCATAGAAACAGTGATCATTTTTCATTAAAATAACCATTCAACTGGCAAGCTTTAAATGGAGGACTTTATACTTGTGCATCATCAAAACATATCTATTTTCAAACAACCAAACAGAGAATGTATGTGTCATTTTAGAAAAGAAAAAATATCCATAATTGTTTAAGAAAATAAAATAAACAATATATTGTTTGAGCTACCGTCATTTGCGTTAATTTATCAAATCGTGGTTTAATAAAGTACCAAATTCCATTGTAGGAACCATTCAGAGTCAATCCGTTGATTAAAAGTATACCCAACAATAAATATGGAAGTAATGCAGTCACATACACAACCTGAAATTTATTGATAAATAATTTTCGTAACGAAACCAAAATATGTAGTCGTGTAAAAACATTATTGTTTTAAAAAAAATAGAGTAACATCGTAAACATTCAATAAAACAATCTTCTTTAACACGATAAAAATGATATGAGTATGACGAAAAGTATTCTGTTTGAATAAATCTATACAATCAAAAATAATCATTAGGTCACTAGTGACCAAGTATGAGATGATTTCTCATAGTTGTTAGTGCCAATTCACGACTGAGTGAACTTAGTTATTTGCCAGGTATACAACAGTTTTCTTTGGTATTAACATTGAATAATTTAAGTATTGTATAACAACTTGTCGGATGTTGGATATTTGAATCATTGAACACTGGCTCATTATTATGTAGGTAATGAGAATAAAGCATTTTCTAAGGACAATTAATTTCTTTCATTTGTTATATCATCATAACGGTCAGTATTATTTCTAAAAAAAGACTAGCCTTGTTGCAATATTTGAATCCGAATTCACTAGAGAGTATCATAATGGCACTGTTATCATAATGTAACGCATCTGGAACCTCACATTGTAAACTCCTGATTTAAATCACGAGGCTTAATCTAACGCTAATTATTATCGATCGCTTTCAATAATAAATGTAATCGGTTCACTCTTTCTCTTGCTTTTTCGCTTTCATATTTCTGCACACATATTAGTCTTTGCACTTCTCTCCCCATCTCAAAATACGAAGTACGTGCAGGAAAGACAAAAGCTGAACGACATAATATTATTGAAAACAAAGTGAAAACAGTTACCTTGCCCGATGTTTTCACTCCATTCCTCATTGATGCAAATAGTATACTAAATATGAATATTGTGCATCCTACTAATTGCCATCTAATTGGTCCAAGATCTTCTAAACCAGTACTTTGCTGTAATTTCAGAACAACACGTCTAAAATATCACATAAAAGAGGTAAAAGAAAATTGAATTTGATTTATTTCGGATTGCTGAATAGTAGCGGAATGAAATATACAAAAAGTGGTCATGTTCACTGTGTTATTTATTCGGTAAGACACGTAACATTCGTTTTATATTGGTTCAATTTAAAATTGAACTATGTGTTTAAAACGGATTAATGATTCAGTAGTGACCAATGTGATTCATGTCGTCTTTTTTTAGTTCTGATAGAATCCTACTTATCAAGTTACAATGTGACCACTAAATTAATTGACTAGATGTCACCTGCATTCTGTTGAGCTGTGACATGGTGGCTAAAGGTAGACAACAGGAAATTCTGAATCTAGGCTTCGTGGTATTCGGCACTCGTTAGCTAGGCCTACCTATAACAGTGAGAAGACTGATGTTTTACGTAGGATTTGGTCCTGTGTTTTTCAGCTTCATATTGCAATTGGATCGAGAAAGTTTGATGAGCGCTTAAAAGGACTTGAAATATACGACGTTGGTCACTACTTAGTGATCATTTACCTGTAAATTTATGTTAGTCTCATAGGAGGTAATCAAGGCTCAAATAACCCAGTGGTAACGTCTTTCACTGTGAAGATGAGTGACACAGGATTAAATCGTACAGGAAACATCAGTCCTCTTAAGATTAAAGGTATACTCCGTTGACAAATGCTAAATAGTTAGAAAACTGGACCCAGGAAATTCTGTTGACTATCTCCAACCACAATCTTACTTTGTATTTTCACCATTTTCAATCATAAATCCATAGATTGATCATTACATGTCAGTAAGATGTGTATAAAGAAAAGTGTATTTAGTTAATTAGTTGTTGTCTTGTTTTATTATTAGAGAATGACTAAAATCTTCATCTGTCATCAGTTTCTGTCTTCTTTCTTGTGTCGTGCCAATTGTAGTCCCCTTTGTTTTAAATGTTATTTTATCACAGTTATAATAATTGATTTAAATAAAAGTAATGGGTATTAAGGAGATACGATTGAATTTCAATATACATAAATTACGTAAAAGTTACAAATACTTTTTTGGCTGTTCGTTTAATAAAATATCCTTCGAGCTTGTAGAATATTTAATTATTCAGATAATGTCTAGAAGGTTATACATCTGGAAATCTTGCCTTTTTCAAAATTTACACTATCTGATGGCAAATCACTTTCATTCAACAGTTGAAGGTGTTTTTTAAACAAGTATCATATTTTACAGTCAATATTCTTATATATACTTGTGAGTAAACTTAATATTACTTAGCGTAAAGATAACCATGTTCAACAAAATGTCATATGTAGCACTTTCAGATACTTTCCCGTTCATTTAATGTGTAAGTTTTATATATAAGAACATGATTTTCACTGGGGACTTCAGTTCATTCATCTGAAACTGTCTACATATACCTTCTATGAAAATAGCACTGTAACGCATTACAAATTACAGGATTATGAAATTTTTTGAAACGATTTTTATAGATGATCCCGTCGATAGATGTTTAAGAGCTTTTTCTTCATAGTAGCTTAGGTCCAAGACCATTGTTGTAGTATCTTTGTCACCTTTGGCAATGACAATCGTTCTATCTTTCTGCAATGAGCACAAAGATTTCCATTCTTCTTTGGAAATATTAGGTGGAAGGGATATTTATTTTGTCAATATATGAGATGTTTTTTGACGTAATATATGCGATTGCTTTTCTGGAAAGTTTTCGAGCACGAGTTCTAGAATTGGGGCGATTTCTAGAATATCAAGAGGTTTTCAATGTAAAGTGAAGCTTTGTCCTCTTTTTAGTAATTTGATTTCATAGGTGCTAAGAGTTCACTTTGAGAGATCATGAACCACCCTAAGGTCACTGAAAGTAGTTTTTGTCAGTGATGTTTCCTTTTATTTTATTTTCTATTCAATCTTTTGAAATTTGTTGATTTGTCATGATCTTGATACGTTTAAATAATGAGTCTCTCTCTTTGAAAAGGGAGAAGATTGAATTAGATGGTTTGGTGGGAGTTAAAATTCTGATCACTTTCACTTCTACACAAAAGCGTCTATAGATCAGGTTTTGTCGGTTTCTACACTGAGACGTCATCCCGTAAGATCTCGACTCGTGCCAAGGAACACTTAAGTTACACAAAAGATCTAATAATCCAGTAGATTAGGAAAATTTACAAGTCAGCAATAGTAGGACATTCTATTTTCATTTTGATATTAAAAATATCAAGATAATTCAGAAAGGCCTTTTGAACTATAAAAAGAGGTGAGTAGACAAAGCGTCCTCAATAGAGAAGAAGGTCCTAATATTCATCCAACCTGGACTGTTTATTCAAACAACCACCCTTGACCTTTAAAGCCATTAGTTACTAACAGTATGGTTTAAAGTCAGATATTAAAAGCAGCTATAGAGAAAACCTACGACGCTGCTAAACTGGTTGTAATTGATGAGACTAAGCCCATGACTTCAAATAGACCTAGACAATGCACGAATGATTGTATCACATCCCATTGCATTTGCTAATTTACATGTCTGTGCAGACGCACATAGAGAAGGTAATCAAACAATACAATCATAAGTTATGAAACATGCGCCTGAATGGCTTCAAAACCAGTTAATGTCAAATGTTCCGATCAACGTATGAAGTACAAAACCATGTTCATTGACAACTTAACACATAGTTTAAATGGGGCACAGAAGTGACATGATTACAACTTTTAAAACGTTGAACAAAAATTGTCAAGGACCGATTCTCAGGTTTATAGAAACCCTGGCTATTCGTAAATTTACCCCCCCCCCAACCTTATGTGTACAGAGACAAGTCGTCGTAACCTTCAATTTACCCTGGTAGTAGTTAAGTCATTTTATAGACTAGGGTAATGCGACAATTCGCTATTCATTCTATACGATGTTAATTTTCTCTCTTTTTATTACTTTGTTTACTTGAAATTTCATTTAATTGATATTTATTAATCTTCATATAAAAGCCTAGAAAAGTATGTGTGAACAGATTGTTGGAAATGAATAGCGCAAACACATCACATTTTTCAGATCAACTGTGTCTTCTAATTAGTCTTTAGACGTTATACATTATTTACCTTTTACTCAATCAACACATACAGATACACGCTATTTCAACCCCACTACTTTATATTGAAATGCATACATTTTTCATACCCACTTACTGATGCACAAATTGATACAGTGATAGATCATACAAAGTCACCTTGACCAAGAATTACTTGACATTGACATATTTAGACATATTATGATTTTCATTTTGTATTGTTTATTTGGATTTTCCCATTGATGTTTAGGACTGGAATTGATCAGTCTGTTGCAACATATGTGCATCATGTGCAGATAGCCTCGTTATCGCCTCAAGTCGAACAGCTGATGAGTCCCAAATAGAACTAGATACCCGTCCTGGATTTCACTGCTAGTCACCGGTCGTAACTTCATTTTGTTTTGTCTGTTTAACAAGCGTTTCCGCTGTTTTCCTGAAGCTACTGAAACAAATATAAGTAGCTAGAAAACACTGCGAAACCTAGGCCCAACGTTTCCTGTTGGCTGCCCCCAACCACAGAAACGGTAATTGTGTTAGTGTATAATTTGATCACTGTACAATGTTTACAAATCAAAATCCTTAAAGTATTATTTATAAGCAAATATGGAGGGTGGCTAGCAGTTGAATCCAGGACGCGCGTTTCATCTCATGTGAGAACTGTCCGCTGGATGCACCTGCATCTAAGAGTTGACGCTCACTCAGGACTCAAACTCATTACCATTCGCTTCAAACGTTATCACGCTATCCACTTAGATACTGATTGCTGATAGCCACCTGGTTGTGCAATGGGGTGAAGTTCAAATTCACTTAGTGTTGTTTGCTTGTATCTTCGCATTGTTATTTAGGACTCCATTGCTAGCCACCATCCATCTTTTCTTATAATACTTGTGACTTAAGGCGATATCGGGTTATCCATACAGAATAAACATATTTCAATAAGAAACTGATCAATTTCAGTCATTAGTACCAATGGGAAGATTCAAATAAATAATACACGATGAATTCAAACTTCTCCCCGTTGCACCTCCTTGAAGCGAACGATACATGGTTCGAGTCCTGGAGTGAATTTAACGTTTGGGGTGCAGGTACATCCAGCTGACGAATCCAAAATAGGATGAAACGTGCTTCCTGGATTCTAATGCCAATCACCATTCATATTGGTTTATTATGATTATGATTGTATTCAATATATTCTGCATTGCTTACTTTGTACTGTTTAGACTTGTGTTTATTTATTCGGTCATTTATTTATTCTGAAAAAGAGGCTTACATTAAGTCACGAAACATCAGAAATACAATTTTTTACTCATGAAGATATAAAAAAAGATGTATTTTTTAAATATTGTTTAAAAATAAGATCGGTAGAAATTCTTTTATTTTCGAAACAAAATGTGTACATATATGGAAAAATACTGAATCTATCTAAATTTTGTAGTTGAATCGCTCTTAATCAAGCTGTCATAATACTTTATTTAATTTGTCAGCTTATTGCTATAAATCAGGTGACTTAACTGTTGACGTGTTTAGAGAAAGACTTTTCAAACTTCAGCTGATCAGTTTTCAACCAACAGAACAACTATTTTCTTGACTGTGTAAATGAAAGCTAATATTACAATTTATACGATGGGTTGGCATTGTTTAGATAACCGATGAAAACCAAAAATCACTGGACAGCTATATTATTCTAATATGAGAATCCTTAGTAGCGTGTATCCACAACTTAATCAGAGACGGAACTCAGAATTTTCATGTCTCGGGGCTAGTGCTTAGACTCTAAACCACATTGACTAGCCATCTGATTGGTTACATTTCTAATTCCAATCAATTCATCTTTTTGCGCCATCATGATTCAATACAATTGACAGAAAACTGTATCACTCTCTTACATAATAAGGTATAAAACATTCAACCAAAAATCTACTAAGATTATATAATTGTTTATCTTTTAATTGAATATGAGTTATCATCAATGAATATCATGATCACAGAACACAGTCAGTGACAAATACGCTTCTAGTTGTAATTAAAAAAAAATTTTGTTTTACTTTCAATAAGAAATTATTCAGATGAAATCTTACTCAAAATATTCAATTGAAGCAAGACTATAATTCTTCTGTTGTAATAAATCATTTTTGTCATTGGAAATAATATTTGATAAACTTTGTAAATATGTGAAATTCACACAATTGATACTATTGCCTCTCCGTTGATCACAATAGGTCCATGGTAGAATATCAGTAATGGATACAAATAAAAAGTATAATGACCATGCAGATATTGTATTATAATAGAACGCAACTGTATAGGATATGATTACTTGAGCAATACCGACACCTGTAAAATGTTAATCAAAACAATGCATAAATTAAATGAACTTTGATGAAATCATTATCTATCAAATAAATCAATCTACATTTGTTAGGTGGTTTTAAAAAGATTTTATGCTCTTTAAAAATAATTTTTGTGAAAAATCGATGTTAACTGAAAGAAACATTGGATGCTAGGAGCCTGTGTTGTTCTAACAGAAGACACCTCAGTCGTGCACAATCACATCGTCATATTGTACAGAGTTAAGACATTTCTGATTCAGCACAACAGCTAACCATCTTCAATCATTGAGTGTGCATCATTTTATAAACAAGTGAAGTTGTCAACGCGTTCGACTACTTCACTCCCTATCCTTAGTTCAAGTGTTGACACAGGCCAGTCCTGGTGTACCAATTTACATTTAGAGGGGGAGAAACGCATTCCAAATATCCTGGCATTGTTACTCAGTTCGAACCAAAGACTCTGAATTTTATAAGCGACTTCATTAAACAGAACTATATCGTCTGCGTATTCTAAGTCGATAAGTGAACCTCCTGGTAGAAGATCAATTCCTGAAAATTCAGTCGAAGAGAGTGTTATTTCCAGCAATAGGTCTATAATGAAGTTAAACAAAAATGGGAATAGTTAACAGCCTGGCCGGACACCACTCGAGATTGTAAAATCATATGACAGTTCGCCACTAGCTCTCACTCGACTGGTAGTGTGCGAGTAAAGAGCCTTCACAAGGTTTATCTACTTCTGAGGTACACGTTTCAGTGACAGACACTGCCACAGAAGCTCTCGGTCTACAGAGTCAGATGCTGCTTTCAAGTCAAGGAAAACTATCATTGTCGGACGCCGATAAGCTTGTCATTTCTCCAAAACCTGACGAATAGTGAATATGTGGTTGATACAGCCACTAACAGGTCTGAAGCCAGCCTGATTTTCTTGTGTTTACAGTTCACGAGTCTTAGGCGTCCGATAATTATTGAGGCTAGTATTTTAGATGCTATGTTAGTCAGACTAATCCCTATATGGTTATCACAGGATGATTTTGGCCCTTTCTTGTATGTTGGGACAATCAGTGATTGTGACCAGTCGGATGGGATTATATCCAACTCCCAGATTTTAGCCAAAATATTAAGCAACCTAATCGCTAAAATTGGACCACCATATTTAATGACCTTTGGAGCCAATCTATGTGGACCAATTGCTCTTCCTCGTTTCAGATTAGCTATAGCCTATTGAACTTCAGCTAGTGTCGGGGGACCTACTTCAATGTTCCATTCAGGTTTTCTGCTTACGGTGGGTAGTTGTACAGTAGCTGAAGGCCAGCTAAACTGCTTCTTAGTGTTCCGCCCATCGTTCTAAACGTCTGGGCTGAGAGCAGATAAGGGTTCCGTCTTTTTCCTAGATTGTCGCACATACACTAGACTTCTTAATTCCGGTTTCTTTTATTAGTCTGAATAGTTGTCTGGTGTTGCCTACAGCCGCTGCCTTTTCCATCTCTTTTGCTTTCGTTGCCCACCACTGCTAACGATCGTTCCTTAGACTTTTGGTTAACCTAGATCTTATTTCTTTTCGCTCTCGGTCGTGTTCAGAGCCTGATAGTATAGTGAATGAGAACACGAGTGGGGACAATCGAATATATTTTTAGCACAAAATTACAGACTATCTCACTAAAATCTGACAACCATGCAGTAAACACCTAATTTGCAAAATAACAATCAATTCTCTCCATCTTGACCATTTCTTCTGCAAATATCAGTCCATAGTCTCCGATTATTATTGTTCATGCATTTTTCAAACCAATTGCATTCTGTTTCGCTTCTTTCGTTATCAATCTTCTAGTGAAATACATTCTATGCCTGACCACCACTATATACTACATATGTGGATACATGTAACCCATATCACACTCGTCCCTTCTTTGAAACATTCGTTCATCCGGTGATGCTGCTCGCCGTGCAACATTTTCTTGCACTGCAGTCTGTACCGCGCTCTCCGTCAGAATGTGGAGTCTGAGGCGCACTGACCCCCATAGCCCCGTCGACCTGCCAGGGTACCAACATCTATCCGGCGTCTGGGACGTTCAACACCCATATTCCACCGGCCTTCCGAGCCATCTACATCGGATGTCCTTCCAACAGCCGCGCAACCCACCGCTCCTCTCTGTCGACAGCATCTGTTACAGCGCCGTCCCGCCAAAACACTCAACTCAACGCCACCTCTCCTCACCAGACTGCCTAACTAGCACCTCGACCCCAGGCCCACAGCGGCGTCCGTACGTTGAAGGCTGGAATGTGTAGTTTTGATCGAGGTTTTAGTAGACCACGGAGAGTGTTTTGCGCACTAGAATCGTGGTGACACTTGAGGAGGAAGCCGATAGAGGAAGTTTAGAGTTGAAAGTCGAGTTGGTAGGAGTAATAGGAATTGAAGAAGAAAATCGATTATGAATACAGTGATCTTAAGTGCTGTTAAAGTTATGAGGGCGGTTATCACTTTCCGGTTGCCCACACCGTGGAAGGGTTCTTCTAGAGGTACCTTAATGATCTGATAGCGTGACCACAATGTACAAGAGACAAGTTCTTGAAGTCGGTCACACACGACCATTTTGTGAGTAATTTTCGTGTTATCTCCGTACCTGTTGGGACCTTACCGCTGGAGACAGATATCCGTGGGGTAAGGCGAGGTGTGCATCTTTAGTGTCAACCATTTCTAACCCCACTCTTTCTTGTGGGAAGGCAGTATCGCTGTTATGCTGGTTGTCTGAAGGAAACACCTTACTGCCATCACACCTCTGTCGAGTCAGCAGTACGTCTTCGCCTTCAAACCTTGGGTTCACTGCTTTTAGTCTTACCGCTCTCAGCACGGATTTAAAAAGCTCGTTTGGCTTTTGCCAATTTACGTTACCTTCGGCGAAGACGAAATATCCGTCTATCAATTAAGGGACGATTATACTGCTGTTCGCTCTGTTCTAGTCTACGGATCCAAAACGTGGCCATTAAGAGTAGAAGATTCTCGTAAGTTACTAGTATTTGACGACAGATACCTTAGAAATATTCCTCGCATCTGCTGGGATCACCGGATAAATAACAGTGAGGTTAGACGCTGTGTATTAGGGAATGATGGTTAATCAGCTGATGGTTGAGCCACGTGTTAGGTATGCCTGAACACCGATTACCACAAGAGTTAGGGGCAGCCAAACCAAATCCTGGCATTAGTGCTTGAAGTCACTAACTTTTAATCTGAGCCATGTTGGTAGATGCAGACTACCTGGTTGGGGTACGCGTGACTATCGTAACCAATGGTTGGGGACTCTAGGTGACATGGTTCAGAATCGATCACAATGGTGCAAGTGTATACACACTTTATCTTCCCTTAAACCTTGAGATTAAAAGTGCTTCACATCTTTCTTCCTGTACCATATCCTTATATGCAACCTTTCTTTTATATATTACCACCACTAAATTAACTACTTCTATGAATGTGGTGTTCATCTTGTTGTGCTAACGAGGTATGGCAACTTGGACAGATGCATATATGTGTCTGGTCCTACGTTGTAGCTGACCGACTGACTTTAAAACATCGTTTATTGATGTACATTATCAGAGATCATATAAAGTTTAGTGTCATACAAAACATTTGATCTAATTTGAATGTTTACAAAATTGAAAGGTTTTACGGTCAACTATTGCGTAATTTTGAAACTAAGTCTTATTTCGTTTAGTTCTTGTTGGTGCGGTGTTCCCGATGGAATGGAATGAGTTTCGAAGTTTGTTTTAAATTTTTACAGTAATGTTAATTCACTCAATGAACGGCTCTTCTGTGACTTGGAATGGAGATTTGTTTACTCTTCGAATTGAATATGCGTATAAAAAAAGATATTGATAATAACTAAATGATGCGATATTGCAATTATCTTTGGTTTTAAATGTCTAATCAGTATTCAGAATGTATTATAGGGTCAACTAATTTTGGAATTATTGCTGAACACTGATAAATTAAAAACAGACATCATAGTGACCTGTATTATTACGATCACTAAGTGATCTAATTTTAAAAAGTTGTTAGAGAACAGCAAAGGAAACAATAGTATAATGTTAACAATAAATTTTACCTCGAAACATAGGACATATATCCCAAAGAGAAATAGCTCCACGACGATGTTTTTGGCCTAAAATTAATTCTAAATAGAACATTGGTGTTGCACTGCAAATCATCACAATAAAGTAGGGAATTAAGAAAGCGCCTAAAATGTTTAAAATGAATAAATAAACCATGAAAATAACCGTGAAGTAGTTACCGATTTATAATCATTCTCTTTGACTATAATTACACATTTTAATAGTTGAATTTATGAGTCGACTCATGAATTGAACTATTAAAATCACTACAATCTTCACAAACCTCCATTCTAATAATAACAACATTTTTCTTTCCAACTGTGCTATTAAATAACTATTTCGAGTAATATAGTCAATCTGAAAAAATTAATCAAATCAATTTTAGTCACTTGTAATACCATAAAATTATCTTTATAAAGGACTTTAAATACTATGAAGTGGTGTAATCTATGGAGGTTTTTTCTTAAGCGTGAAAAAGCTTATTTAAGATCATAACCATCTCTAAAACAAATTTAGTGAAAGATCCAGACTATTATTTGTGAATGTGTGTACTTGTCACTGAATAATTTTTTCAGTTTGTAAAATATTTTAATTGTTCATGCTTAAAAACTAATTTGCTTAACAGTTACAAACAGTTCAATTTAATTTAATTCATTTGTTAGACGTTTTCTGTTCATAAATAAGTCTGATTATTCAACCTAAAAAGTACAAAAAGGTCGTAAACTGTTCGCTCTTGTTTGAAGAAACCATAAAGTATGAAGAATCATTATTTGACTAGCAGAAATCTTCCGAGAAACAAGTAGATCTGATATCTATATATACTCTTAACTCATTAGATCAAAGTTTGGAGTTCTGTTTCACATCTCGTTTATATAACATTCAATCTTCAATTTTGTGATTTTAATGCACAGAAACATAAACTCTTAAATGACGGAGTTCATGAATGTAAAGTGTTGGATTAAAACAAGCTATGATATTAGTAGAGACAAATTACCAAACAACTGTAAATAAAATATTGGCAATATATTTAACAGAACATAATTTGAATGGATTACCTTATCACAAAAATGAAAAACACTTGGGGCAAAAATTTAGTACAGTTGGTTGAAATTGTTCATGCTTATTTCGGTGGATCTAATCTATTCTTATGAGATTTACTTTTCGAATAGTTAGACATGAAAGATCCTTCTGAATATTTTTGTGTAAAACGTTTCAAAGTAAACTGTATAGGTTTTATTTACTGTTTTTTTTCAGTGTTAGTGTTATTAATCTCGTAACTGAGATTATGATACTAAGTTAAGATTTGAATCTATGGTTTAAAAAAAATAAGTTCTAATAGTTTATATATAGAATACCATGCATATTCTATCAATATATCATTTCAATTGCAAAGTTAAATAAAATTATTTAATCAAAGGTATTTTCTTCAGATTCTCTTTCTTATCAGTTTACACATACGTATTCTATGATAAACAAACACTTCATGATAATCGTTTATTCTTAATGATTGAGTGTCTTGTTCACGTTATATCTCAAGGTAATCAGACAACTTGAATTATAACTATTCTGTTTATGTACAAAATTAATCATCTACAAAGCATTAAATTGTCAATAGAATAGAGCTCAGTCAACTATTTATAACAAATATTTTTTACACAAATTTGTGCTTGGTTATGGAGCTAAATATAACATTAAATTTTCAAACAGTAAGTCGTAGTTAATTATAGGTGTTTGTATTTTCCTGTTACTCGTACTAAAGACTGTAATTGATACATGTTCATTCAATACAAATTGCCTCATTGTTATCATCTAGTTATAAGTTTTTAAAATGTGGGACGGCGGCTAGTAGCGGTATCTACGAAGCTCACTTTGCCCTAATCAAGATTCGTTAATTGAATGTATTTTTTCCCAGTAAAAATTGAGCGCGAGACCTATGAGCTTAAACGTCAACGCACTATTCACTAAACAAGTGATTACAGATAGCCACGAACTTGATCAATGCGTTTGAAGTTATTTATAAGTTATAGATACTGAGTTCGAATCTCGATCTGAACATCAGTACTGGTGTGCAGGTACGCTCAGATAGATAATATTTGCGTGATGGACTTCTCTGTCATCTATAGCCCAGTTTTGTGAGAATAAGACAGATTTAGATATCTTACACTTGTTGGCAGATTTAGATATCATTGCGTCTTCATCTCACTGGATAACCAATTTGTGAAAACGCTGCTATCATAAAAAATGTAGCTCAAAGCTAATGCATTTTTTATTTCTGAGAAAAATGGAATATATTTAGTTTTTAAAAATGTTTACTGATAATTAAAGTGGCGAACTAAATTTCAACAGTACTGTTTACTGAAATTTCAAACTATTGACAGACTTGGGATCCAAGATATACTTTTGCCATATTTGAGACTTGTCAACTAGATATATCTGCCTCACAGTGTTGATGTTCGGATAGATATTTTAACTTAATAGTATTCACTTTAAGCGTCATTACATAATCCAGTAATCTGTTTAGTTCACCAAATCGTGAAATAGTTGTACAAAAGAAAGCACGTAATTGATTATTAGTCAGATAAGAATTAATTCGACCAAAATTTCAAATAATATTACATTTTTAAACTGAATGATGCAACAAAAATGAATGAAACAAAACTCACCACCACCATTAGTAAAACATACATATGGAAATCGCCAAACATTTGCCAAGTCAACTGCATAACCAAGTACTGATAAAAAAAAGTCACACTGGTTATTCCACTCTTCCCTATGATCACCATCATTATCGTTATCAACATTTAATTTTCCTGATCTAGTTGGTAGATCGGATATCTCAGATTTCATATTAAAAGTATCATTGTTTAGATGGCAGTCTAAAATGAATTTCTGTTTATCTGATTTATTGATAAATTCTAAAACGAAATTTTTAAATGATATGAAGCAAATAAATGTTTGATTTATTACAACTATTTATTGAAAGTAAACTGTTCAAAAAATTATAAAATCCAATGTTCAGGTGATTCACTTACACAGTTATTAATTATAACCAATGATATCAAGTGATGAGTAATAGAAATGAAGATGATGACCAACAGCAATGAACGATATGAAAAACAAAGATTTGTGGCAGAATTGATATCAGTGGCTTCACATTTACTTGTCCACTACTTCACTAAATAATCTATAGGTCATAGCATTGTGTGCATCACAAAAGCAGTCATTAGTTGCCTGTTGACAAAATGCAGTGGGAATATTAACTGGGGAGAAACGTTGTATTACCTGCATATTGATCTGCTTTAAAAAATTGTGGATGGGAAACTACACTGCGTTAACACTAGATAATGACCGATATTGTGTTAATCTAACTTTTGGTAATAATCCAAATCTGTTTATCAAGTTGTAATGTGGTCACTAGTCTAATTGATTGAACATTGAGTACTTGGTATCGCGATGTAAAGTAGTTAAAAACAGTCAACTTAAAATCCTTGATCCAGTGTTAGTAGTATTTGATATTCGTCATTGAGGCATGTCACCACTATTTATAGGAGTGCCACATATCACAGGTCTCGAATTAAAGTCATCTTATATCATAACAATTTTAATATTATTCTATTCAACCAGCTCTTAAATAATTTTATTCAAGGGTTTCTTATCGTAATCATTCTGTTTATTAGCTCTTACAAAACGAGAAACATTAGATGGATACAGAATTACCTGAGTTTTCGTAAGGCGATAATAGATGGTTTAAAGCTAGTTCATTTCCCGTGCATAGATGCATTACTGATGGAACATCAGATTCACAGGAGTGATCCATTAATTTGAATAATTTTTGTCGTAAAAACACTTTCCTTAGCATAACATTTGTTGTTTCCTAAAGTGTATGGAAATTACTTATATAAGAATTTAAAATGGTTTATTTTACACATCATAACCAATCGAATAATTTAAGTTCATTTAAATCTCTTACCATGTTGTTTTGACATTATTTTTTTTGAAAATGGATAATAACGAATCTTTACTACTCTACCTTGTTTGTTTAGGAAAGGTAATCTACCAATCAAATTAGTTGTATTGAATGTTTTATTTGCTTGTGCATATGAGTTCGGATGTCAAGTGACCGATTTGTAAGTAAGTATGAACACCTTGATCATATTGAGCATGGTAGTGATATCAACGTTTGCCATTCATAAATTTAGGAAACTCGTCAGGAAAGAGTACCTATACCCTTTCGAGAACTGATGCTTCATACAGAATTTAAATCCGTGTCTTCCATCCTTACAGTCTGATATATTAAGCTACATATATTCTGAGTGAAGGTTACCTCTTGTAGGACTGAAATATTTAACCCACATAGAATATTGGTTCAGATAGAGTTTTTTTCTCTGAGCTGGATAGTTCGGTAGTGGAGCTTTCATCGTTCTTCTGAACGACGTCACCATCAAAATCATCTGCCTGAGCTACAAATCTTCTCTAGCATTGGTTTTTTCAAGATTACAGATTAGCCATTCTGCTGTGTGCCAACTCTAGAGAAACGGATATGGTGTGCGCCATTCGTCAGTAGAAAAAGTTCAATAGGTGGCAATCAAATGTGAACTAAAGATCAAATGTATTTCCTTGGGGTCAATTTCTCAAGGATAGACGAGTACATGCATGAATGAGAATTTTTACATTTTACTCGGCAATCAAATACTCTTTATCTCTCACTCTTGTGTTCTCAATCAAGTAGTCAGTTGGGAGGTTAGCACATAGAACACCATGTATCAGTATCATACTTCGGACACCGCACATCACAAGAGAAACATAGGTTGAACTTTTTCTCTCTGCTATCTCCAACCGACTGACATCTTAATATAATGAGTCTGATGTCGAGTCATCTTGAATAAAGGCCTTATTACAACTTGATCGATAGAATCCAATCAGCACCAAAGGGACTAAACAAACGTGATAATAGTTTTTAATTACTCAGTGGTCAACTAACAGTAAATTCTTGAAATAATAACAGACAAATGAAATGAAATGATTATTTTGTAGGCAAATATCTTCGTGAAAGTGATTGGTGTTGGCTAGTATTTTAAGTAGTAATCGGTAGGAACGCTAAAAGATGAATATTTGCTGATTCCAGTTGAAGAAAGACATTTTTAGCATGCAAAGTTGATGTTTTTAATGTTTCAAAACTGTTTCCTAAGACTTCAGTAATTTGTTTTCAGTATTTTGACATGATCACAAAAGTGCTGTAGGCTTGCTGACTAATGCTTTATTAGGGTATCCTAAATCTCTAGTAATCATTAGTTTAAAAATAGACTTCAACCTTCACAGTTAAAATGTTGCCATCGAATATGAGATGACTGCAAAATTAAGTTTTATCTGTATGAAATTATTTTCATTTAAAACTTCACCGATTAAAGATGTACGAACTTGCGTAATTATTATGCTAATGTTAGACACAAAATATCATATTATTTAGTATTTGTTAATGATTGAACTTTATCAATCAAAGTTTGTTGTATGACCATTCAAATACATGGCTCGAAAATCATAATGAATTGCTTTCATATTAAATTTATGTTGACAAACATCAGGAATCAATTAATTCAGGGTTTCTTGCAGAGTAACACTCAATATATCATTTAGTGTAGCCATTACATACACCAATAATGATCCAGTTGAGAGGCAACTAATATCCTGTAAATCTCAGTTGATTACAGTCGCCGACCAAAAGGTAACAGATTTCATATAGTACAATTTTTAGTGCTTACTAACTTAACTTCGCAGTGTTGTCAAAAGACTCAGCGAAAGACCATAATATATGAGTCTTCAATCGATTATCTTTGAATTACGCTAGTCATATCAGGGGATATTTCATTAAAGGTAAGTCGCTATCATGAATTAACGAGTGAAATAAGTATATTCTACAGTAAGCATAAAAAAGGTGGAAGATGAAAGTGACATCTGACTTATTGTCAGTTATTTGTTTACTTCTTTTTTACGACGAAAGTGAAACATTGCTACTTCGAAATTTTATCCATATTTAGTTTTCGGCCATTTCTGACATCTCCCCAACCCCTTTATGATTTCTTCGAAATATGATGAGTAGTTTGTACCATACATTCATATTATGCCGGTTGATAGAGGAGAAGATTGGAAAGAAGTAATCGCAGGGAAATGAGGTCAAGTCGTGGAGGCCCTGATTACTGGTATGAATCATGTAAGCAGGTCCAGGTTGAGATCCTGTTAAAATCAGTCGCAATCTCACAAGTGTATTCTTTCTCTATTTTTTCCTTACATTTTGTGAAAAATGTGATTTCCAATTATTTATTCCTCGATTCCATCCTCTCATCTTTAGACGTCCATTACAACTGATATATATATATATATATATATATATATATATATATATATATATTACAAACATACAAAATGCATGATTATACTCATGTTTGTTGGTTTTGCAGCTTTTACAGTAGTCATTCACTAATTCAAATTGCGCTTCGGTCCAATGATATTGACTAACACACATAAATCAATGAATTTGCTGATTTCTGTCAATGAATTCAGCACAATGTACCATGCCATATGAATTAGAGAGTTTAAAATAATTGGTGCGAAATTTTTGAACACGATGTCGAACCACATTTCTAAAATGGATTTATTAATTTAATTTACTCCACTTAACAGATAGAGGACATTGACTGTTAAGTTTGTCTTCTCATTATTATCAGTACCCTGACTTTACAGGTTAATTACCATTAAAGATAGTAGCTCAGTAATGACATTTAGCATTTTCATTTCATTTATAAGAGGTATTTAAATCTTAGGTTGGTTTTATCAATATCTCCAAAGTTGATAAGTACTGCAAAAATAATTGAAAGTAAATTTGAGGATTCCCTATCAACTGAATTGAACTGTCAAATGAAGCTGAATCAATTTAAACTATTATTTAACACTAATTACAAACGGTGAATAAAATAATTTGAGAAATCGACTGAAACCCTATTATTTACACATGGCTATTAATTTCACTTGCTCTTTTGTATGTCATAAAAATGATTTCACAAAACAAATTCGGAATTACTCAGCTGTAAGTGACATGAAGAGCTTTAAAAGGGATAATACAAATGACTTTTAACCTAATTGTGTCACTTAACAAATATATATATATATATATATATATATATATATATATATATATACAAAAATATATATATGTACTTTATGTTCTTCAATCATCTACAATCATCTTTCTGTAATTTATTTTCACTTTGGTCTATTAAGTAATTTCCAGTGATGCTTGTAAAGACATTTTGATCATTTGTTATATGATGCGATTTCGACATAAATATACCGATTAACTGTAAATACGATTGTGAAGTTTCAATAAGTAACATCATTGCAAAGTTTTTCACTAAACCGTGATGAAACAACAAGTCCTTTAATTCCTGAATCGTCTAGTAAATATCTACGATTGCTCGCTTGTCAATCAATAAATTTATCATAGTAAGTATTGATGTATTGAAATCATTCAGGTTTACGCAACTATTAATGATTAGAAAATGTTTTACAATGCCATAGAAGGATGATTGCTTGTACATGTCACTTTTGTACACAGTTCTAGTTTGAAATAATGAATTGAAAACATTTTCGGAATTCGTAAGTGCTATGTTTGAAGAGATTATGATATCCCCTAAACTACTAAACGGAATGAAGGTATGCAACACAACATGAGAACAAGCTAAACTATTCCAATGCGCCCCAGCCCTGTTAACTAGTGGTGAGACGCCAGATTCAGCCGGGGTAAAAGTGTATTCCACAAGCAAACAGAAGCACGAACAAATCGGCACACAATTTAAGTGTATATATATGTAATATAAAAATGTCTTTGGGAAACGTCACAAAATAGCGTTTTAAAAGACGAAACGAACCAGTGACATTGTAGGGCCAGTGAAATGTTATTCGGCCCTAATCAAATCATCTGGCAGTCGAATCACTGAATATTGAACAGTTCACCTATCTTCGTCAAGGTCAAATGCAACCCATGCGCATCAGGTAATTGCATGTTATGGACTGACCCATGCAACAGTTGTCACAATCCATTCCTTGTAAATCTCATACTAATATATTTCTGTAATAACGTCGTTTGTGTTGTACGGTTATCAAAGTAGCCATGGTGTAGTGTGGACTAATTATATTCACTCAATTAATATATATTGTGATTTAGGAACGGAATATCTGGAAGCAGAAGGTTGGGAAGATCGAGAAGGGAATAACGGAAACAGAAAGCAATTGTAATGGAAATGCAGGAACAATGAAGCCCGAGACAATAAATGAACATTTTGCAAATGAAGTATTAGAGTATGGTTTTTCTATTTCAACAAATAACTTTGTGCTAAATATATAACCCGTTGTCCTCACCTGTGTTATCATTCATACAATAGTACCTGGATACGACGAAATATTAATCAACGTTAGTTACTAACCTTGAGGTGTGACTTCGACGTTGGCTGGTCTATCTGACTCAAGTAGGCCACCGACCATTCGACATAGACCATCTACTTAAGTGGTTTACAACATTTTAAGGTCCTCCCAATTGTGAAGTACAATCTGAAGGTAAACATGTGCGCTTTTGGCGCAAAAATGAAAAATTCAGTTTTCCAAAGTAAAATTACAAAAGTAAGACGTTTACCAAGTGATTTCTGAGAATCTAGAATCCCCAGCATTAGTTTATTGGTTAGTGTTCCTTTCGAACCTAACTGTTTGATTGCATAGGTAATTTTGAAAGGCATATATTTATGGCCCTGAAATATCTTATTCCAGTTAGGTCGGAAGAATGACTGTTATTGAAATATACATTTTGCCAAT